GCTCTGACGCACACATGTTGCCTCTGGGCAGCAGGGACGGTGAGTCGGAGCGGGATCGCTCTCCTCCGTCCCTCCGGAGGTCGAATGGGAGAATTATTTTGTCACCGCGTCTTTTGCGCGCGGAGAATCTATTTTTTTTTTTGTTTATTTGTTTGTTTGTTTTTATATTTACCGCCTGGTGAACCCAATCAGTTTGTGTGAAGCTGGAGAAAACTGAGTTATGTGTCCTCTTCTATCATCCTGCGCCTTGTGCCAACGGGAAACGTGTGCGTAAATTTCAGCTCCGTTGACTGTAGCGGATTGTAGCGTGAAAAAAAACCTTTCTGTGTGAATAAAGAAAATAAATATTTCATAAGAGAAGCTACTTTAAGTCTGAGTTGAGGAGAGCTGTGACCCCCCAGCAGCGTTCTGACAATGGCAGTGAAAGGCTGCGCGCCGCGGTCACCGGGACAGTGAGCGCACACCGCCCCTTTCTCACCGGCACGTCATCCCTCTGAATGGGAGAGCCGCTTTTGTCTGTCCGCGTGTATAAATACGCGCTACGAGTGTCCTCCTCACCACAGAGTTACACACACACACACATACACACATACACACAGAGTGAGAGAGAGAGAGAGAGAAAGGCGGCAGCCAGAAGCAAAGTGGTGACTGGTGCGATCAGAAGGACAGCAGAGCGGGACAGGAGGCGCACAGGCAACATCAGGTGACCAGAGCGGCCTCGAGAAGGAGAGACTGAGTGAATGAAGAGAGGGGGAGGGAGAGGAGAGAGTGACAGCAGAGAGGGAGGAAGCCAGCAGCGACCTCCTACCCGACAAACTCCACAGCAAACCCATAAAATGAATTCAGACTCCAGCCCGAGCAGCAGAGCCTCTTCACCGGACATGGACGGCATGTTTCTCCGCGACCACCACCACCCGCACCACCATCACCACCACCACCACCACCACGTGGGCTCGTCTGTCACTTCCTCCACGCAGAGCGGCGAGCAGCAGCGCCAGAAGATGACCGCCGCAGAGCTCCTGCGCTCTGGAGACGCCAAGTCCGCGTCCGTGGGAAGCAGCAGCAGCAGCAGCAGCAGCAGCAGCAGCAGCAGCAGCAACAAGTACAAGCTGAAGAAGCAGGTCACCGAGGAGGAGATGTACCAGCTCAGGCTCAAGATTAACGGCCGCGAGCGGAAGCGCATGCACGACCTAAACCTGGCCATGGACGGGCTGCGCGAGGTGATGCCCTACGCGCACGGGCCTTCGGTGCGGAAGCTGTCCAAGATCGCCACGCTGCTCCTGGCCAGGAACTACATCCTGATGCTCACCAGCTCCTTGGACGAGATGAAGCGGCTGGTGGGGGAGATTTACGGCGGGCAGCACTCCGCCTTCCACTGCGGCACGGTGGCGCACGCTGCCGGCGGCGCAGGTGCGCACTCCGGTGGCCCCGCAGCAGCCGCAGCTGCCGCCGCCGCCGCCGCCGCGGCCGCCGCGCACCAGGTGCACCCTCTCCTCGGGAGCGCGCTGTCCTCCTCCACGTCCTCCACCTTGTCCGGCGCGCTGCCGGGGCTCACGTCCATCAGGGCGCCCCACGCGCTGATGAAGGGCTCCCCGGCGGCGCCCCCGGCCCTGCAGCTGGGCTCCGGCTTCCAGCACTGGGCCGGACTGCCGTGTCCCTGCACCATCTGCCAGGTGCCCCCTCCTCCTCCGCACATCCCCATCACCTCCACGGGCCTCACGAGACTCACAGGGGAGGGGAAGGACGGCATGAAATGATACCTGAGCTGCCAGCAGAGACAGAGAAATCAAACATTTGTAAATAAACAATTCAGGGCATGAGGGGGGATTTGGACATTTTGCCTCACCGCATGTTGTTGTTTAGTCTGTTTTCATGTTAAACGTATGAGAAAAAAATAATTTCCCTCCTTGTAACAAGGACTTTTATCCTCATTTTTGCCACTTGAAGGTAAAAAAAAGGCGCAACCAGATTTTTTCCTCCTGTGATTGAATTKAATTTCACACAATGTGAAATAGGAGGCTGCATGAGCGCTCTTTGTTTTTCATTATTTTGTGAAAAGGAAAACTGTTTTCTGTGCCTTGTACCAAGGATGTGAAACTTATCAAAYTCTTCTCAAACGGTTTTATTCGGACAGAGACGACTTTTGCCGCGTTTTTAGATTTATTTGAACCGCGCGGCTCATCTTTCTGTCTGTTTCTGCGGAATTTAAAATTCATAAAAGTTGTTTTTTTTTCCTTGCATGTTGGTAAAAAAAAAATGATCACAGCATGACTGTTTGAGTTTGCCCAGAGACGCTGTTTATTTTTGTACATTGTTGATGATTAAATAAAAAAAAAGGAAAAATATTTATTATCACAGCGTCGCTGGAAGAAATTTCAATAAAACTGAGATTAAAACCATAAACCCTGCCTTTTTTTTCTTGTTATTTTAAAAATACTTTGTAATATTACATTTCTTATTTTATATAAAGCAAGTTTTTCTTTTGGGGAAAAACAAAACAAATAAATTAACATATGACATTCACAAATTTAATTATTCTATTTCATGCACAATATTTATTTCTAATATTTTTTAATTTTTTTAGTAATTAAATCGGATTTGTGCAATATTTTCACGAAAAACAATTTTACACATTTCTTTTAATGATTTATTTATTGAAATTCATACAATAATTTCTACAATATTTTTGCACAGCATGCTTTTTCAACAAAATGCACGAATTTAAATTAACACGATCACGATTTAAGTCAAACTTAGAATAAAAAAATAAACTAGAAGGTTTTTATTTTGCAAATTAAGTCATTTTCTGCTAAAACGAATCCTTTCTCTTTACACAGTTTACCTCCACCTGACAGGTGAGTTAAAACCCCGACAGAGTCAGGTTGAGTTTGTTCATTTTGAGCTTTAAAAAAAGAGAAATGCGTCAGGAACGAGGGAGCGGGCTGCCGCTGCGCCCTCCTCCTCCTCCTCCTCCTCCTCGGTTAGAGGCGCAGAGCGGTTTGTCCGCCGGGTCCCACGGGTGTTCCTGCGTCTCATCTCTGCAGCGACAGAATGTATGTTTGTGGAGATTACAAGTTAATTGTTCACGGGGGGACCGACGGGGAGAAAATCCCATCAGAGAAAAAGCGTCGGGATTACAGGCTGCTAAATGCAGGAGATTATACATTCACCTCCTCCTCCTGTTCCTCCACATGCAAATGAGTGCGTGGATTAAACAAGGAAAAAAAAGAAGCTGAACGAAAGGAAAAAGGAGAAGGTCYTTTGTAAGTGATTTGGTAAGGGATAAAAGTACAAGTTTCCGTGTCTAAGTTGGAGAAAAACAGTGAAAGAGTTCATTTTTTCCGCTTCTTCGTTCGGTTTGTTTTTGTCTTTAGGAAATGAGCGCCTGTCTGCACCTCACAGGAGGCCAGATGGGAAGAGCTGGGAAGCCGCAGTGGCCTTTTTTAAACCACACAACACCGAGGAGGATGTTGTCAAGGGAAGCTGGCGGTTTGCGAGTTAATAGTCGTGAGTTGGGGGTAATTACTTAAGGTTTATTATGCTCGGCTTTCAAAAGGAAACGGACCCTTCAATGGGCCCAGAAATACTTCTTAATACTGGCTAATTAGGAGCTGCGTAAAATGGACACAACYGCTGCCGCTGCGGCTGACACTCAGAAAGAGACCTTTTTGTGAGGAAACCACAAAAACAAAACAAAAACACAAAGACAGACACAAGATAAATGCAAATTATGGTGCCTGTGAAAAGAATAAATGCAGGTTAGTTAACTTTTTTAAGTTGTTTATGGAAGTGATAAAAACCTTGGCCTGTTCCTTAAAATTAAAACACAAATAAGCATTTTTTAAATCAAAATTATCTGTTTATTTTAAAGCCACTTTTCATTTATTTATTTGTTTGTTCCCCTCATTAAGTCCTAAATCATGTTAAGTGCAAAACCTACAAAGGGAACTTGTGTAACCCAATGAAATTTGTTTTAAATAAAGTTGTTAAATTAAATTGCACTGCAAATCACATTAAATATCAAAGTAATTACAATGAGCAGAAATGTTTTGATTTTAATTTTCTTCCTCTTTTTTGCAGTTTATTTATAAAGTTCTGTATGTCTCGTTGTCTGAAGCTTTAAATATTAAAAAGCATAATGTTTGTGTGAAGAGAGTCAATATTTTATTGCTGAAATGAACAAATCAATTGCTTTTTTATCATTATGCAGAATCAATGCATGTTTTTAACATGGTGCAGCGGTAAAGTTTAATGAAACAACAGAAAATTCCCAAACAACAAAAAATAAAAAGTAAATAGACGTATTGAACCTGAATGGGATGAGCTTGCTCTTTTCAGGAGGTTTGACAAATGGTCATTTTAAGAACACACCTGTTGCTGCGAGCCACTTACGGCTGCACTGCGTGAAGCAACACACACACACAGTCAGGGACACACAGTCATTTTTTTCCCCCTCTTGGACAAAAAAAGCTAAATGCTTTCAGCCTCATTCAGCAGCCCTGTGGCTCTACTAAACATTCAAATCTCTAAAAAGTTGTTTTTAATTAAAACTCTCCAGCAGCTGCTGATTCCATATAAACAAAAACGATCACAAATCTGAAAATATGAAGCCTTTTTTTGTAAAACTTATCAGAACTCCAGCCTTTTACACTGCTGTTGCATTCAGCATGCAGACTCCAGCCGGTGTGACTGTGTGTGTGTGTGTTGCTGGTTTGTTTTACTTGCTCGGTCAGTGAGGGCCAAAGCCTGAGGGCAGCAATTGAAAATAAATTTCAGTTGAATAAGGGGCAGCGGACGTGATCGGCCGAGACGTCGTGGAACAAAAGCAGTTGAGGGGATAAGTTATTGACCCGGCTGACAGCTTGAACGAGCCTGATTATAACCGCCTGGTCGTCCTCTGTGTGTCTGCATGTGTGCGTTTGTGAAGCAGGTGCAGAAGGCCATCACCTCCCTGAGCCCACCTCTCTGTCTCCCTCTGCCCTCAGGGAGGCCGCAGGGTGCTCCCGCCTCCTTCATCCTCTGATTTTACAGACTAATGTTGAACCCGTAGTGCCAAAACAGAAAGCATATTTCCATCATAAGAGAGGTTTGCCATTGCCATTAGCGGCTGGGCTCATTTGCATGTTAATTGTGTAGTTAGAGAAGGGGCGCTGACACCTCCTTTTGTCCACGCGGGGTCGAGGGAAGTGAGAGGACGGGGCTGCAGAATGACACCCCCCCCCTCCCTGTGTGTTTTTGTTTCAGGCTGTTTGGTGTCATCTGTTATCACGACTCAYGAGGCGTTCAAACACAGCTCAAGTTGATTTATTGTTTAATCTTCAACTCGTCACTTATGAGTCGTACAAAGTGAGAAAATCAACTGGAACAGGTCTCAATCTCAACAACTTGACACCATGTGCCAAAATCTGCACCTGAACAATTTCTCTTTTGGTGTCATGTTGTGTTGAGTGGGACACTTAAAACGCAGAGACGGAGGCTGAGTTGAAGCAAAGWCGCTTACAGTGAACCCTGACTAGTTGCAGCATTAGATATTGTTTGATATACATACTTCAGCTCTTAAAAAAAGGCTGTAAAAATACWGTAGTTTTTATAAATTAAAGYAAAAATACTAAAYTTGTCACTGATTGCGCCATATTGTTCATGCTGCAAAGCATACYCCATAAATGATGATGCTATTGGTCCTCCGGTGCAAGGCTGTGAGCTCTGCAGCTTCCAGGTTAATTTTGGACAATATCGGATCATTAGACCTTTTAAATAAAACCAGATGGGAAACAGAGAGGGGGACGTAGAAATAACTCAGCCTGCAACTGAAAATGTGSAYGGAGGACAAYAGAACTGCTTTACTGAAGGAAAACTTCAGTTTTAGCCTGTTAGCTTTCCTGTTAGCACCCAAACTAAAACATGTACTATAATGGCGGCATAGTTAAGAGTGTGAGCTAATATTATTAGCTTGGGTTTCCTCTGTCAGCATTTTCAGTTACAAGCTAAATATTTTTTACATTTTCATCTGTCAAGGCTTCATTTTAAAGGGCTGACAGTTAAATATTGTCCAAGATTAACATTCATTAATACTGTTATCTAATGTTACAACTAGCCGGGCTTCCCTTTAAAAAATTGTTTAACAGAAAAAGTTTTTAAAAAAATGAAAAGGCGGCAAGCAGACGTTTAGTGGAGCACAGGAAGAAAACTAAACTTAAACAATAAGAAGAATCTGACATTACCTGAGAGATGAGCTGGGAGCAGGGATCACTGAGTTACTGYAGCTGCAGGCTGATGAACAGATGGAGGTCAGGTGAAAACACACTGAACACCAGTGCAGATCCATACTGAAAAATCAACTTTATGCTCTAAAATGGATTATTAAATCAAAATAGCGACTCTTTGATACTTCAGTCATTTCAGGTGTCTRTCATTAACAGGAACACAGAAAGTAAACCAAATCATATGCGGTTGGTAGAAACTACTTTTTCTTAAATTAAGACCCAAGATTTCATTTAAGTAATTCTCATAATTAAACAATAGGTTTTATTACTTTACTTAACCTTTTATTGTTTAAAACACCATTTTCATGTATTTTGTATGATGTCATAGACTACATGTCTTCTGTTGTATTAGCTCGGCTATATTGTAAATGAGGACGCTACATTATACTTCTGAGTTTAAAATTAATGAATTACTCTAATGTTTTGTATTCTTTATGAAGTGTTTATATAAAATACACTGATTGTTTTTTTTTTGTTGTTTTTTTTGTTTTTTTTGCACAATGTATTGGGTCAGTATCTTCGATTCCAGCCTGAATTTTACTCAGTATCAGAATCAGAAAGGAAATTGTTGACATTGAACATCGCTACTGAACACAAGAAAAACATGGTTTTAAAATGAAACAAATTCAAAAACTGAAACTAGAAACACAAAACTTCAGGGTCAGTATATGTAATGTGATGGTTCAACTTCTAAATACTGATGTACTTTTACTTTAGGGTTGCTTTTACGAGGCTCTGATTTCAATAAACTTCTTTTGATGAACCACTAAACAAAGAAATAATGCATGTGAAAATTTCATTAAATCTAAAAAGAACAATGGATYTGCATGTGTGATATTTTATTTTGTACAACATCCTTTTTAAACAGGAAGTGCTTTTGGTTCTTATACTTTTAGTTTGTAAAATCTTGACAATGTTTAAATGTTGAATGGAAGGCAGGACTTGTAAGGAAGTTATTTTTCATTGTTGTGAGCTGAATGTCAGTCAGATTATTGTCAGTATTCAGAAATGAAGACGTATAGATGCCCGGCTACGTAACAAAACAAACATGCTGTGTTTACATGTGCTCTCCTGTTTGTCCTCACTTAAGCCAGTTTAGGTG